GCGGGGGGCGGGGCTTGTGGGGGGCGGGGCTTGAGCAGGCGCGGGCGGGGCCAAGAGGGAGGTGGCATCGGGGGTCCGAGGGGCGGGGTCAAGGTGAGGGGGCGGGGCCTGGGGCGGGGATTGAGGGGGTCCCTCCCCTCAGCTCCCCCCTTCCTTGTGACCCCTCTGACCCTTCCCCGTGTCCCTGTGGCCCCACCTGAAGCCCCCAGACCCACCCCCCCCTGGAGCCAGAACACCCCAAATTCCTCACCTGACCCCCCCTACCCTCTCCATGGAGCCAGGACACCCCAAATTCCTCACCTGAACTCCCCCATCCAGTGCCGGACCACCCCCATGTCCCCCCACTGACCCCCACTGTGTCCCCCCCAGCCCCTCCTTGCACCCCCAGCCCACCCCTCTGACCCTCCCCTGTCCTCCTAGCCCCTCCCCTTGTCCCCATGGACATCCCAAATTCTCCCACCTCACCCCTCTCAGACCCTCCCCGCGCCCCCAGCCCACTCCAGTGACCCCTCCCCTGTCCCCCCCCAGCCCCTCCCTGTGCCCCCAGCCCACCCCAGTGACCCCTCCCCTGTCCCCCCCAGCCCCTGCCCGTGTCCCCATTGCGGGGGGGGTCGCCCCCGTGCCCCCGAGGTTGTCCGGCGGCAGCGGCGGCAGCGGCGGCGGGAGTTGGACGCGCCGTGGAGCCGCTGCCAGATCCGCATCGGGGGGCACCTGGAGCGCTGGTGCCGCCTCAAGGAGCAGCTCGGCTTCGCCCTGCACTCCCAGCTCGCCCAGTTCCTGCTCGACAGGTCGCTGGGGGGGGTCCCCTGAGCCCACCAAAATTCACCCCTTTCACCCAGGGTTGGAGTCGGGCCGGCTCTGCCCCTGCTGACCCCACCTTGTCCCCGCAAGTACAGCAACCCCGGCGGTCCCCGGAGCTCAGGTGGGGGCCTCCCCCTCCCCAAAATTGGGGTGTTGCCCACCCAGGGTGGGTACCTCCCCCCTCCCCAAAATCGGGGTGCTGCCCACCCATTTGGATGTCAGTGCAGAGAGAGGGTTCCTGGCCCTCCCAGGTTGAGTCTCCCCCCCCCAAAACCCACCATTTTGGAACCATTTTTCAAGGATTTCTGTGTTTTCCCTGTTTAACCGCCCAAACCACCATTTAGGAGCCCTTTCCTCAAAGATTTCCACGTTTTGCTATTTGACCCCCCCAACCATGCCCCCAAAACACCATCTTGGAGCCGTTCCCTCAAGGATTTCAATGTTTAACCCCCCCTGACCCCCATTTCAGAACCATTTCCTCAAAGATTTCCATATTTCCCCCATTTGTGCCCCCCCCAAAGCCCCCTCTCTGACCCATTTCCTCAAGGATTTTCCCTATTTCTGGTGTCTCCGAGGGGACCCAGGGGAGCCTGGCCATCTCCACCCAGCCTCCCTGCAGCGCCTGGTTGTCCTGTCCCACGGGCACGGGCAGGAGTGCGGCTTTGTGCCCGACGTGCGGCCGCCGGCGCCGGGCAGCACTGCCCCCCTGGTCTGGGAGTGCGTGGCCGGGCACCGCTTCTCCTGGGGGGGCCCTGGGGGGTCTGGGACACCCCCAGGAGCACCCCCGGAGCCAGGAGACCCCTTGGATAAGGAGGAGGAGGAAGAGGAAGAGGAGGAAGGGGGGCACGGCAGGGCTGGGGGGCACAGGTGAGTTCCACCCCTCCGCCCAGGGTCACCTCTGTACCCTCAGCACCCCCTGGGTCCCCACCAGCACCCACCAGCACCCCCCCAACCCCATCATGCTCCGGGGGGCTCATCCCACTGGGATCAGGGGTTGGGACAACCCCGGGGCCCTTCCCCACCCTCCATCCTCACCCTCCTCCTCCTCTTCCTCTCATGGCCACCCCCCATCACTCTCCTGTCCGCCCCATCACCCTCTTGGCCCCTTCCACCCCCCTCATCACCCTCCTGTCCCCTTCCAGCCCCTCCCTCACCCTCCTGTCCCCCCCCATTACCCTCCTGTCCCCTTCCACCCCCTCCATCACCCTCCTGTCCCCCCCCATCACCCCCCTGTCCCCTTGCAGCCCCCAGGTGCCCCCAGAGCTGTCCGCTGTGGCAGCAACAGGTGGGAGGTGAGTGGTGACCCCCCCAGATTGTCCCCTTTGTCCCCATCCAGCCCCCCCCTGGGCCCCCACCCAGGCTGACCCCCCCCTGTGTCCGTGTCCTGCAGCTCCAGCCCCAAGAAGGAGCCTGGGAATGAGCCCCGGGAGGAGGAGGAGAAGGACCAGGAGGAGGAGGAGGAGGAGGAGGAGGAAGATGACCTGGCCTACAGCGATGACCTGAGGGACCAGAGCTACCACCCGGGCCCGGGCAGGTGAGGTCCCAGTACAGACCAGTGAGGCACTGGGAGCTCTCAGGCTCTTCCTCCCCTGTGTCCCAGTACAGACCAGTGAGGCACTGGGAGCCTCTTGGGCTCCTCTTCTTGCCCATCCCATCCAACCCATGTCCAGCCATGTCCAACCCACATCCAGTCATGTCCAACCGTGCCCAACCCATGTCTTTCCATGTCCTTCCACATCCTTCCATGTCCAGCCCAAGTCCTTCTACACCCAAACCACATCCAGCCCATTCCCCCTCAGACTCCCCCAATGTTCCAGCCCCACCCAAACTCCCTCACCCACCCCATTTATCCCCCAAACTCCCTCACCCACCCCATTTATCCCCCCAAACCCCCTCACCCACCCCATTTATCCCCCCAAACCCCCTCACCCACCCCATTTATCCCCCCAAACCCCCTCACCCACCCCATTTATCCCCCCAAAAGTGACTCGGAGCTGCCGCCCCGGCCGAGCCGCCCCTGGGCCTGCAGGAAGGAGAAGGAGAAGCCCCCCGAGGAGGAGGAAGAGGAGCAGGAACAACCCCCCCTGGAGCCCCCCCCGGGGCCCCCCCCGCCCAACCCCAGCCTCCCCGAGGAGAGGAGCGGCCAAGGGTGAGTCGGGGTGGGGAGTCCCAGTGGGGAGGGGGCTTTGGGGTCATGGGGGGGGAGCATTTTGGGGTCACAGAGGGAACATTTTGGGGTCACCAGAGGGAGCATTTTGGGGTCACAGAGGGAGTGTTTTTGGGTCACAGGGGGAGCATTTTGGGGTCACGGAGGGAGTACTTTTGGGGTGGTCTGGGAGGGTTTCTGTCTCTGTCTCCATGCTGAGGGACGCTCTGGGACCACCAAAGGTGGGCAGGTATTGAGGGCAGGGCACAAGCCTTGTGTCCCCAAGGGGGGGTGTCCCCCCTCCCCATGACCCCACTGGCCACCACGGGGCAGACCCATGTTCCTGGGCCTGGTTTGGGTGTCCAGCACCCAAATTTGGAGGGTTTTTGGCTCCCTGACCTTGCTTGGGGGGGGGGATCCCCAACCCCTGTGACCTTCGTGGGGAGCCAGGAGAGGCCGAGGGGGGCAGGGGATGGGGACAAAGACCCTCCCAGCCCCAAATCCATGGATCCCAGCTCAGAATTCCCTGGTTTTGGGGCTTAATGACCCCAAATCCCTCCCTGGGGGGGGTCTCTGCTAGTCTGGGGGCTGCTCTGGAGCAGCTCTGACACTCCTGGATGGGTTTTCCAACACTTCCAACGTGGCAAAGGGGTTGAAATCCCCTTTTTTCCGACATTTCCAACACGTCCAAGGGGTTGAAATCCCCTTTTTTTCCGGCACTTCCAACGCTTCCAAGGGTTGAAATCCCCTTTTTTCGGCCCAACCCCGTCCCCAGGTGAGTCCTTTGCTGCAACCATCGACCTTTTCCCCCCTCTGAGGGGCAATTTTTGGGTGCTGAACCCCCTCCCCTCCCTCTCCTGGCAGCTCCAGACCCACTGGAAGAGCAGAGACCCCCCCCAGGAGAGCTGAGCCCAGGGAAGGTAAGGCTGGAATTTGCTCTTCCCCCAATCCCTGGGCTCCCAAGTCCAGTTTTGGGGGGTGGGAAGCTCTGGGTCGTGGTCTGGGCCCTCCCTGGTGAGACTGAAAGTGGGTTTTTATTATTAAATATTTTATTGAATATATTATAATATATTAATGTATTATTTATTTTATATTTATTTATCTATATTTATATTTATTTATATATTTATATATTATAATATATTTGTCTTATTAATAAATCAATATTGGTAGTATCAATATTATTAATGATAATTATTAATAAAATATAATTATATTAATATTGATATTTATATAATATAATTAATATAAATATATTAATACATATTAATAATATCAATGTTATTAATAATAATCTATAATAAAATAATAATTTTTATTTATATACAATATATTTTTATTATTGTTTATAATTATTAATAATAAAACTAGTAATTATTATTTATATACAATATATTCATATAATTAAATGTAATAAATACATTATTAAATTAGACATTATTAAATGTGGGAGGGTTTTTTCCTCCACCCCTCTGGTGGTTTTTTGGGGGATTTCTGTCCCAAATCCCAGGATCCAGATCTCCAGAGTCACACCTGGGATTTAGGGAAGGGACTTGGGGGCTCTGCTGGGGCACCAAAGTCCAGACTGAGCTTCAGGTTTGGGGGCACAAATGGTATTTTTAACCATTTTGTTAATTTTTCTTCCAGCAGGAGATAAAATCCTGATTTGTGAGCAGAGCAAGAGCTTCCTCCTCTCCTCCCTCCCCCCCGGTAAAGCCAACCCTGAGCTGATTAAAACCCCTTTTTAACCCATTTAGGACCCGAATCCCAGCCCCCCAAAAACCCCTTTAATCCATTTTTTAACGGATCTTCCCTCGATTCCAGGGGCACCAGCCGTTCCCAGGGGGAGCTGGGGGTGAATTCTGGATCAATCCAGGCTGGGATCAGCGTCCTGGGATTGCAGCCAAAGCTTGGGAATGGATTTTTTTGGGAGCAAATAAAGGATTTATTCCCCCCTTTTCGACTCCTGAACCGTGTGTTTGTTCCAGTGCCTCCTGCTCCCGAGGGATGGGGGAAAAATGGGAGGGGAAAAAGAGAGAACTGAGGGATTTAAAGTGGGATTTCCTTGGGAATTTCCTGGTGGGACAATGAGGGGACTCATCCAGGTTTTTCCCGTTGCAGCTGCCGGAGGAGGACGCAGGGGAAGGACGAGGAGGAGGCTCAGATCGGCCCCAAAAGGATCAGGTACCCAAAAAAAAGGGGAAGGGAAGGGGCTGGAGGAGCTCCCGGGGCTCTTCCCAACCCGTGGGGAGGACGAGGAGCAGCTCCAGGGAAGGTTTTAGGGGGGGGAAAAAGAGGGAGCAGCTCCAAGGGGAGAAGGAAAAGAGGGAAAAGGGGTGAGGAGGGTGGAGGAGGGAGCCAGAGTGGCGTCCCAAAGGTTTTCCAGCCCTGCCCTGGGAAGGGTTTTCCTGGTTTTTGGTTTTCCCAGGAAGGCGGCGAAGCACGAGATCCTCCTCTGCGACTTCGAGGGCTGCGGGAAAATCTTCTCCAACCACCAGTACCTGAACGTGAGACCCTCAAACCTGCCTGAAACTCACCCAAAACCACTCAAATTCCACCCAAAACCACCCACATCCCCCCCAGAACTACCAAAAATCAGCCAAAACCCACCCCAAACCCTGCCCGAAACCACTCAAAACCTGCCAAACTCCCCCAAAACCCACCGAAAACCACTCAGAACCACCCAAACCCCACCCTGGGCCCCCCTGGGACCGGGATTTGGGATCTGAGGAGGGTTTTTCTTGATCCTGCAGCACCATCAGAAGTACCAGCACGTGCACCAGAAAAGCTTCGCCTGCCCCGAGCCCTCCTGCGGCAAATCCTTCAACTTCAAAAAGCACCTCAAGGAGCACCAGAAGCTGCACAGCGGTGAGGGGGACATTCCAGAGGGATCCCAGGGCATTCCAGAGGGATCCCAGGGCATTCCAGAGGGATCCCAGCTCCTTCCAGAGGGATCTGATCCCGGTGCCTTTTCCCCCCCAGACCAGCGGGATTTCATCTGCGAGTTCTGCGCCCGCTCCTTCCGCACCAGCAGCAACCTCCTCATCCACCGGCGCATCCACACCGGGCAGAAGCCACTCCAGTGAGTCCCAGTCCCATCCCTGCCCTTCCCAGTAAGTCATTCCTACCATCCCAGTGAGTCCCAGTCGCATCCCACCATCCCAGTAAGTCCCAGTCCTTGCTGCTCCCTGTGTTTCCTGAGTCCCATCCCTCTCTATCCCTGTTTCCTGAGCCCCATCCCAGCCCATCCCTGCTTCCTGAGCTCCATCCCATCCCCGTTGCCCAGGTGTGAGATCTGCAGCTTCACATGGCGCCAAAAGGCCTCCCTGAACTGGCACATGAGGAAACACGACGCCGACTCCTCGTACCAGTTCATACACCAGATCAGGACGGGATCTACATTCGATACTGTACTGATGGAAGCCCTTTCAACCTAAGGCGACTGAAGGCCCACACCAAGACCTTAAACCATCTTGTCCAGGAGCTGCTTTATGCTGATGACGCCGCCCTCGTCGCTCACACAGAAGCAGCTCTGCAGCGTTTGACATCCTGCTTTGCTGAGGCTGCTGAGCTCTTTGGGCTGGAAGTCAGCCTAGAGAAGACAGAAGTTCTCCATCAATCAGCACCTCAGGAAGTCTTCCATCATCCCCATATCACCATTGGCCAATCAGAGCTCAAATCAGTCCAGCAGTTTAATTACCCAGGGAGCCTCATCTCCTCGGATGGTGAGATTGACAGAGAGATGGACAACAGGTTAGCAAAGGCATAGAGAGCTTTTGGAAAACTCCATAAAAGAGTTTGGTGTAATAAACACCTGAAGAAAAGCACAAAGATCAGTGTTTACAGAGCCATTGTGCTCTCTACTCTCTTATATGGGTCTGAATCATGGGTCATTTACTGCCACCACCTGCGACTCCTGGAACGCTTCCATCAACGCTGCCTCCGTACAATCCTAAACATCCACTGGTCAGATTATGTGACCAATCCATCTGTTCTAGAACAGGCAGCAGTCACAAGCATTGAGGCCATGTTGCTGAGAACACAGCTGTGCTGGGCAGGGCACGTCTCCAGGATGAAGGACCAACCACCCCCTCCCTAAGATCGTGCTCTGTGGTGAACTTGCCACCGGCTGCTGCAAGAGAGGAGCCCCAAAGAGGAGATACAAGGACTGCCTGAAACAACATCTCAGCCTTGGCCATATTGATCAACATCACTGGTCTACTCTGGCCTCCAGTCGGGAGGTCTGGAGACACCCCATCTCTAACGCTGCTGCTTCCTTTGAGAACGCAGCAGGATCACCATCGAGGAGAAAAGACAACGCAGAAAGAACCGTGTCCTGTCGATCCCATCCAAGGAGTCTTTCTGCTCTGCCTTTTGCAACTGGACGTGTCTATCTCGTATTGGCCTCTTTAGCCACCACTGTGCTTGTAGCAAATGTGGGCAGAGCCCTTCCCAAATCTTCATTCACAAAGCCCAGCCATGATTTTGGATATTAATTTGGGAGTCTGGACTCATTGGTTTATTTGGTTCTGGAACTGGTCTTTGGTTTATTTGGTTTTGGAAACAGGTATTTGGTTTCTTTTGTATTATGGGTACTTCAGGTTGCAAAGAAAGAATCTTGAAGAAATCCTTTCTGGTATTTTGGGTATTAACTTGTGATTTCTGGACTTGTAAGTTGCATTGGTTTTGGAAACTGGTAATTGGTTTATTTTGTATTCTTGAACCATTGGAAACAAATTGGGACCCCCTTTGGAGGGATAAAGCTGTTGATGCTGCAGGGGTTCCAGGACCCTGAGGATTCCAGTGCCCACTGAAAGTGTTATTCAGGGAGATCCTCTCAGTCCCTGGATGCGGGGAGTTCCAAGCAAGATCCCTGGGATTTTATTAAGACATTAAAAGGTTTATAAAAGGTATATAAAAGGTGTACCTAAGCAACATAGGAATGTTACAGAATGGCTGCTGGAAACCAAAACACCAATTACAGGAAGCCTGTAAAATCTGGGCTTTGGGAAAGGTTGGGGAGGGTTGGGAAAG